AATGTGCGTTTTTTAAAGTTATTTTTGATGTCTACATTATAGGTCACCCGTTTGTTTATCGTGATACAGCCAGGAATTTTCCAAGAATTTTACCAGAGACTTTCTTACATTCATATAGTAAACACTTATACGACCGATTGACATTGATATTATGATTGTCTCCGTGATGTCTGTCACCCTTTCTCAGCTTGTTACTATTGAAGAAATGGTAAGCGTGCAGCGTGCAACTATCGAGTTATGGATGCACGCCGGAGGTTGGTAAGCACGAAAGAAGTGTAAGAGTCGCCCTCGGCTATCGCCTCGTGTGACTCTAGCTTCTTGAGTGCTCAGCAAACCTCCCAAGTGCATCCATAACTCGATAGTTGCACACTGCACGTTTACCATTTCTTTTATAACACTGAGACTTTTGAGGTAGTATATACTGAATCTCGTCCGGCTTACATGAAGTCAAAAGCGCGATAAACCGCGCGAAATTGTTCATTCAAACATCTGACAAAGCGACACATCAAAATTTTTCTTGGATCGCGGTGACTCGATCTCGGGCATACAAACACCTTCAAACTGCTCAGTTAACCTAAATATCGAGCTGATATTGGATCAGTTTACCGAAGAACTGAAAACAAACGGCACATGGTTGACATGGTTGAAGCTTTTGGTGGTTGAGCTTTCTGTTCTTCACGGCCTATTCGGCAAAAGAAAAGAACAATATGGAACCAGACATTTCTTAAAAGCGAGAGTGGAGAAGAATGCGAAAAAACACCCCTGGATTTGAGCTGTTTAATTTGAGATGCTCTTCTTCAATAGCAGGTTTGTGGGTTACGCTTTCCTTTCCACTTCGTTTTAAATTTGATGAGTTGCGCCGCTGAACTTGAACGCAGGAGTGGCTTTAAAACTGATCTCTGTCTCTTTCGTTATTTGGTAAAATAAGCTTAAATCAACAGAAGACTGAGGCTTAAAGGAAAACGTCAAAAACGTGAGCTTACGTTTGTGCACAACGCAATCGTTCCTTCGAGTGGCTGTTTCTCCAAGAGGTCAATTTACGATCGAGTGATCGAGCAAAACTGAAACTCGGGTCGACTGAAATCATTTATCAGAGGCCACCAATATTCGATAAAACTTCCTTTATTAAAGCTCAAAAAAACTATTAGCTTTAACCTTTTTGGAACAAAAGGATTTCGTATGTAAAAGTTCACTTAAAACAGAAATTTGTAAAACTCTTATATTCAAGTTTTGCTCGCAATGAGCACTTAATGGCTTACCCCAAGGGAAACAGAGAGTTTTGTTTCCCCGAGACCCTCAACGATCCCCGAGGCGAAGCCGGAGAGAACATTGAGGTCGAGGGGAAACAAAACTCACTGTTTCCCTTGGAGCCAGTCATTAAGTGTTTCTTTATATACCTCCCAACTCAAAAATAGAAAAAAAACTGCGAAGAAATCGTTTGCTTGACGAAGGCTGGCACACAAAATTGCCGCGGTTTCAAGGAGCACGACCTAATCACGTACCCCGAGGTAGTTAGTGAGTTTTGTTCGCCCTAGGGATTTAGTGAATTTTGATCCACGACACGTGACTCTTTCTTCTCCAATCGGAAAACGTATTTGAGTTGGGAGATTTGACAAAAGCGTTGAACTAGCTTTCGACACAAGAAAAGTTTTACAAAAAAGCCTTGTGTTGGATAATATTGTCGCTAGATCGCTGAAAAATTCTCTCTAAAATTGCCGTTATGCCTTACTAACCTCGAAAGGTTGATGCAGACCAGTTTGTAGTCTTTTTGGTCCGTCTCCGAGTGTATGTTCAACCAACTGATTCAACTCCTGCTCGCAGTAAATTAGCAATCTCTTAGCTGGAGGCCCAACTTTTAACTTGCGATAGAAATTTGGTAGCTCACAGGAATTGTCTTCTTCATGTCCGGAAGAATTGTTAGATTTTTCCATGTCAGACGAGAAAAATATTAGAATTATGTTTAAAAAAGTGGCATCCATGAAAAGAATTGCCGAGAAGAAGTATTTGTAAACTTAACAAATTGACGTCAGCGTAGTAAGCGTGCAACCTACGGGCAAATAGATCGAGCGTATTAGCCAATCAGAACCCGCGCTTTTCCAAGGCCATGTTATAAAACTTTGTTGTCGTAAGCAGGTTGCGTTTCGTTCCACCTTTTAAAATTTATTGCGGCTACCCTTTTAGTCATGAAAATAAAATACGTAAGGCGTTCTGTTTTCCACTGTTGTACGCGTTCAGGTTTTAGGCTCGCCTCTAGAGGTATCAAAGGTGTGATCTCAGAAGTCGTACAAAATAATATTGGCCCTATTTTCTGGTTCCAAAAACTATTTTTGTACCCAAATATTGGTTACGTTATGCTAATGCGTGCATATATCATCTGATAAAATCTTGGTTAGATATAATTTAACACTACAAAGCCACTGTGCCTACATTGTTGACGTAAACTGCAAGAAATCAAGCTTGTGGCTATTTACTTTGAATATTGAGAAATTGTCGACGGGAACGAAAATTCTTATTCTATGATCCAAATTTGGGTTCTTACAATATAGTTGATTGTCAATAGATTGTGAGTATTAGGCCCCTATTTTGCAAAAACGAATATTCACGTTGATCTTTCTTTTGTTGAATAGTTACTCGTTTCACATTGTGTTCCATTAAAGCCTGGCGCAAATGCAACCGCACTTAACGTAAAGATATAGCTCACTTGGTCTGTGCAGAACCCGTTGTTCTGGCAGGGATGGCTTGCGCAGGATATCGATATCCGTTTTAGGGGATCAGTTGTTTGCATCACAGTTTTCCCGGACGGGAATGAGCTAAAAGTTCCAACGAGTTCACATTTTGGTGAAATCTAGGAAAGTTCGAAATACCGCTTGCAAGCGGTTGATCATAATCAAACAACATGGCCGATGGAATGTTTGCAAAATTGAGCATTTTCAACAGGCCAACACAGAAAGAAGGAAACTTGTCTTGATTTCATATTCACACAGTTTGTAATTCATGTTTTGATCATTTCTCTGAGCCTAATGTTATCTTGAAGTAAATATGTTTTGTCTAATATATCCAAACTATCACGACCTAACCTACTATCAATTTGTCCTATAAAGAAAGCGTGGAGTGTATATTTGCTCAAATAACTGTAATTCTGATGAATACATGTGTTAAGAATTTCAATAGCTGCATCAACGATGTAGCATATGCTGCGGTTAGTTTAAAAAAGAAGTCCATCGAAAAGTGCACGTCCATTATTTTTACACAAATATTTTGAAGAAATATATAGTAAATTTAATTGTCCTTTTCAGTGTTTATAGCACAAAGCCTGGTGGAGCCGAGGAAACAACTGAAACAAATAATTCAAATTAAGCATAACACTGTTAAGAATCCCAACTGGCCGGAGGCAAACCAGTTCTCTATTTACAAGCATGGTCGGGGATTTGTGATTGGGGCTACCGTCAAACAAATCCAGGTACATGTAGTGATCAGAGCGGGACTCGAACCCGGGACCGCTGGATTGCGAGACCGACGTGCTGACCACTCGGCCACGCTTTACGCTTCGCCTTTCACCTTCTTGCTCTGTTCAGTTTCTGCTCAAGGTAAAGCCAGACTGCTTTTTCCCTTATCCATCAATGTGGTTACGCAAATTAAATGAGAATGATATTAATATATTCCTTGTTTTTCAACTTCCGACTTTAAGTCCAGGGGCCCGTTTCTCGAAAGTCCCGGAAACTTTTTGGGCCTGCAAAGCTATTTTTAATTAATCTGTATCTAGAGGCAGAGAGGTGCATACGCCTAAAACTTCTCGTATGAAGGGAACCTCTGTTCATATTAAGAATATGTAAATGAAAGAGCTCTGTAATCATAAGGTTTGAGATTTCGATACGGCTTTCCGGGTGCGAAAACTTTTCGGCATCTTCGAGAAACGGACCCCAGAATCGACAGCATGAGTTAACGTGTAAAAATGTTTGATGGTGACTGAAAACTTGTGATTAGAGAAGGAAATCGGTTAAAAGGAAAGAAAGTGGCTGATTCATCCTCGCATTGATGTTGAAGCTACATTCACGAATCCCGCGCATTCCATTCAATGAATTCAACGACAACACCAGTGCAACGTCACCGTCTGACTCACCAAAAATTAGTTTGGAATTCTTGGTCAATTGCAGAAGTTTTTGAAAGGCAATTATCCATTAAAAGTACGTTTACCAATTGGGTCACTTGAGATATTGACCACACAGGTTGAATATAACTTATTTTAATCGGTAGAGACAGAGCCAAAAGTCTAATATAAAAGCCGAGGAATTGTTAAGTTCAGCACTTAAAATATTAAAGCAACCAGCGTGGATTTTTTTTTCGTCGCGAGGTCAATAAATTGTACGATATGATTACATTTTGTCAACTGCTATATAAAAAAAGCGAGCGATAGAGCTACCATTAGTTTCTTGATTTTTTTTTTTGTTGTTTAATGGCGGTTGCATGCAGCTTATCGCAAGTAAAGCACAATATAATGTCACGAGAGTGGCGAAGATAGGTATTGTACATATTTAGATACCTGAACGATTGAAATGGTATCATTTTAAAATATCCTGTGTGAATATTGATGACAGGGACAAAATCTATTTCTCACTAGGGCGCGCCACAATATTATTCAACATGCTATGATCAGATCGATCAAGCCAAGTACTGAAACACAGTGGTGATTCCTTTGGTTGTAGTAACTACAGTAAGAGAAGTAGAACTCGTGAAAATGTGAGATTTAATATAGTTTCTCTTTCATTACAGGAAAATGAATATGTAACGACTGAACAGATTATTAGAGGAAGAAAGTACGCCCACACAACTAAACCAATACTCGTTTGCTTTCACATGAACGTTTTTGTTACAAACAATGTTTCTTTTTGGATACGAAGTGGATCATTATCAATCTTATGAGGTACTTTATTTTATAGAGAAAGTGGGTTTTTTGAAATTATTTTAGGTTTTACATTATAAGTCATTCGCTTTTTGTCATGATATTGCAAGGAATTTTTTACGAATTTTACAAGACACTTTCTTATATTCAGATAGTAAACACCAATACGATTTATTGACATTGATCTTATGCTCGTCTCTGTGATGTCTGGCACCCTCTCTCAACTTGTTGTTGTAACTTTGTTTTCGTAACCTGTTGTCGTTGCGTTACGTTCCCCCTTTTATAAATTATATAATCGACCCTTTTAGTCATGACGATAAAGTACGTTAGGCGTTCTGTTCTCCACTGTCGTACCCGTTCAGGTCTTGGGCTCGTATTTAAATAAGGCCAGATTTCTTTCAGTTTTCGTCAAGAATGTAGGCAGGGTGACTTTGTTTTATGTGGTTTCTTAAGACAACAGACGTGTTAAGCGACAAACAACTCTAAGCCAGAGTTTATTTCCGACAGACAACACAAACAGAGGTCGGTCACAGCTTGAGACCTGCATACTGCGTGACGGCCGTTCGTTTGTATAATGATTTCAATCGCCGCACTATCGGAGATTCAGAAAGCGCCTTTCTCGTTTAAAATAACGTGCATTTCAAGGGCTATCGATAGGCACCAAGCGCATGTTCATACAAGGATCTTTGGCGCGTGAATTCGGTTTTGTATGTCGTTATAACTGCGGACTCGGATCAAACAGTCTGTTATGAATTACGACTATTTTCAGAGACGTATTGTGTTTTTATCAAGCTAAAGAACGCTTTAATTTATTGAGACAAAGCTTCGTAAGAAGATAAATGGGTTTTGAGCAGAATTGTGGATGATTTCACTTGCATCAGATCTATGCTTTCAGTGTTTTGGGTACCCAAAACTGTGAGCGACTGGGCATTTGTGACAGCGTTCGGGGTAGTTCGGGGGAAGGGACGGGGAATTTTGTTGAATGACAATATTTTGAATGTCCGGGAACTTTCAAAA